TAAAAATACTGTAATACCCCGTCAAGACCAGATGTTCCTTCGAGGTTTAGTCTTTGTTTTTCATTACCTCTGTACTGTTGTGCGTCGTCTTTCTATTCCTTAATATGTCATTATATTCCTGACCTTAAAAGAATTTCGAAACCTAATACTGTTCTTATACTTAATCAAATAGTTTATTTCTACAATTCCTTGTTAGTCACTCGAGTTAATTAACATTAATAAGTACCATTTAATGCTGTACGCCTGAGTGTTTGTATCAGGTGGGTCTCTAAAACATTTTTTTTTAATTAAATAGAATCTTGCATTGGGTATTGAGGAGGTGGAGCGACCCCAAGGGAGGTGGCCAGCGAAGGTTGGCTTTTAATCTAATGAACTTTTATTGTGGGATTAAGTGCTCCCAAGGGAGTGTTAGTCGATGTGTCGGGGAGGGGGAGATATGGATCACGGGTACACCCTCCCAAAATGTGGCTACACAGTGTTAATCACGGCCAAATTTAGGAGAAACGTAGATAAAGTTTCTGTTGATCTACTCACTGAAGCTGGCTGGTATAGCTTACCCAGAGAATGGGAAGACGCTGAATCTCTGGGTACCATGTGTGTGTCTCGGACTGCGAATCGAACCCAGGACATACAAGATATACACACACTTTACCACTTGACTGTTCCACCAACACCCATTAAAATTTCTAACATGGTTATACAATATATGACTCGGTTAAGCATATTTTAGGTTATCCGAAGTAATTTATCATAATATAGAGGCCATTAACTCAGTTTGTTCACTTTAACAATTCCTATTACACATGTCGTCAGTGTCAGATCCAAATATTTGTCAACTCACGTGACAGATCATAAGAACATAAGAATGGAGGAAACTGCAGTGGGCCTATTGACCCATACTGGGCAGTCCCATTTATACCCAACCCCTATTGCTCATATAAACATCCAACCTTGTTTGAAGCTATCCATCGTATTCGAGTTAATGATGATATTTGGTAACTTGTTCCATTCATCCACTACTCTGTTTCCAAACCAGTGTTTACCTATTTCACGCCGAAATCTAAATTTGTCTAATTTAAAACCATTGTTACGAGTTCGCTCCTGGTTGGATAGTTTGAATACCTTTGTAATGTCCCCTTTGTTTAACCAGGACTTCCATTTATACACCTCTATCATGTCGCCCCTCACTCTACGTCTCTCGAGGGAGTGCAAATTAAGATGCTTTAACCTGTCTCTGTATTCAAGGTTCCTAATGCCCGGGATTAGTCTTGTCATTCTCCTCTGGATTCTTTCCAAGGATTCTATATCCATTCTGTAATACGGTGACCAGAACTGAACTGCGTAATCCAGGTGAGGTCTCACAAGCGCTAGATATAATTTTAAGATGACCTCGCTAGTCTTGTAACTAACACTCCTTTGTATGAACCCAGTACTTTATTAGCCTTGTTACGAGCAAAAACACATTGTTTCCTTGGCTTAAGATATATACTTATCATTACTCCTAAATCTCTCTCGCAGTCTGATTCCATAATGGCATCGTTGTTCATCTGGTAACTGGTTTCCCAGTTTACATCTCCTATACTGAGTACTTTACATTTGTCCACATTGAATTTCATCTGCCATTTTTCCGACCATTTGAAAAATTTGTTTAAATCTTCCTGTAGTTTTGCAGAGTCCTCGTCAGATTCAATTACACGTCCTATTTTAGTGTCATCAGCAAATTTACTTCTGTTGCTGTCCATGCTGATATCTATGTCGTTTATGTATATAATAAATAATAATGGTCCAAGTACCGAGCCTTGGGGAACTCTAGTGACGTTGCTCCAATGCGATTTAGTGCCGATTATGCTCACTCGCTGTTTCCTGTCCCATAACCACGCCCTAATCCATTTAAGGATATTACCTTTGATGCCATGCGCTTCTACCTTTCTAATTAGTCTTTCGTGGGGGACTCTGTCGAAGGCTTTGCTAAAGTCGAGATATACCACATCATAATTGTGCCCCTCGTCCACCGATTCAAAAACTGATGAAAAGAATGTTAATAGATTGGTTAGACATGAACGCCCGCTTGTGAAACCATGTTGGGAATCATTGATCAACTTGTGCTTCTCCAGGTGGTTTCAAATAGGACAGTTATCACGTTATTAGTGATAGGAAAATAACTGACACAGGTATGTGTTTAATATAATATAATATTAATTTATTTTTTATAGTTCAATAAAGCAGCGAGTTCATTTTGGGTACTCTGATCTAGTAAGAGTCAGTCCGGCCCAGCCACACACAAAAGAACAAGGAGAGTATACGTGAGCCATGAGGCCGCCTCACTTCCGTGAAAACTGGCGGGCTTCTTTTTTATTTATTATTTTTTTTTTTACGGGGATTAGCCCACCCGTGCACAGGTCACTGACCTACATCGAGGCCTGGGAGGCGAAAATGTAGTAGTAATAATAATAGTAGTAATAATAATAGTAGTAATAATAATAATAATAATAATAATAACAATAACAATAATAATAATAATACTATTACTGTACTACTACTACTACTAATGATAATAATAATACTAATAATACTAATAATACTAATACTAATACTAATACTAATAATAATAATAATAATAATAAATAATAGTGATAATAATAATAATAATAATAATAATAATAATAATAATAATAATAATAATAATAATTCTTCAGTAAAAAAAATTTAATAAAGAATACAAAATTGAAAATAAAATAATAAAATTATAATGATAATAATAACACTAATAATAATAATAATAATAATAAAAAAATACCTAAATGAAAAAAAAAAAAAAATCAAGTGAGAAACCATATAAATGTTGTGTTGTCAATAGTAAGAAAAACAATTGAAATCCCACAATTGTGTAAATGAGGCAGTAAGTCAGAGCAGCAACCTGGGACTTGGTCACAATTTTTGTGATGCCATATGGCAGCAGGGTCTACCACTAGACAACACATTATGCTTCCAATATCTTCCCAGGCGGTAGTACCTCCCTGTTTGGTAGCTGCCTACTACCTACTACCTGTTAATCTGACGTCACATTTCTAATTCACGGTGATGCTGGATGATTGGTGACGCCTGTGTCAGCCGCCAGGGCAGGGAAAGGAGAGTGAATGGGTGTGAACGGCTGTGAAGATAGTGTGAACGCCAGTAAAGATGAATGCCAGTGAAACTAAACGCTAGTGTAATGCAGGCCATGACTGAGGAAAGGTTACTCGTGTCTGATTTTACTGTCATGCTGCAGGCTAAATATTCTATCTTTGTAAACGGTTCAAATAAGTGTGTAATGGTTTGTAACAAAAAAGATATTCTGAAATAATTGTGTGTCACTGAGTTGATACTGCCAGTGATGTATAAACCTTTGAAACAGAATACAGTAGTGTTACAATTTACTTATTAAATGTTATGTTGATTTGAATTTGTCATAATAATGAAAGGTTTTGAATGTCTGATGTTGCATTTCAACCTTTCTCTTTTACCTGTAATATCAATAATAAATTCTTTAATGCTATACTGTACAGTACTGTACTCATGATTTTTCTCATTACAAAAAGGAGTATATTGGATGTCTAAAGAGTGCCAAAGTCCAAATTGCCTGGGATGTGAACAAACACTAAAGTAGGCCTTGGCTGTTGCCTTTATCAACAGCATGAGGACCTTCTCTTCAAGTGACAGGAAAGATATATGCAATCAGCTGACAAGTTTGATGGTGCATGGCAGTGAAACATGGGAAGTTAAAGAGGATGACATATTTAGTCTTGAACAAACTGAAATGAGAATGGCAAAATGAATTTGTAATGTATCACTGATAGATGAGATACCCTGTTCAGAGATAACAGTGGAGCTAGGTACTGAGAATACTGTATTGGCAAGGTTTTACAAAAAGATAGGCCAATATGGTTTGGGCAAGTGGATAAAATGTTAAGAGATCAACTGAGTCAAGAGATACAGAGCTTGAATACGACGGGGACTTCCCTTAAGGAAGAGAGCTAGGGATAAGCCGAGAATAACATGGCGGCGAGAGGTTGTAAGAAATGCTCTCAAAGATGAGAACCGACACTTGACTGCAAGAGATCATGCAGCATGGACAGCTACCATCAGGTAATGATGGCTAACCTATGCAAACATGGAAAATGGCCATAATACAACAGTGATGACGATCCCCTATCTCTCAAATACTCGGCTAAACATAATTTAGCCTACTTTAAAACTGTTTCATTGAGTTTGCATTACATCTTTTGCTAAAGTATGTTTGCTCCCATCTACATTTGATGTGACAGCCATGACCTAATTTATATTCTTCCACACACACATCTTCCTCCTACCTTTCATAATACAAGCTGCAACTCCTTCACAAGCTCTTATCTCCCTTCTCTTATCTCCACCTGATCAAACCTTATACTTCTCAGTTCACCAAATCCCACATCCATAGTTTTACATGCACCCTGAACTGAACACTGTTTATATCAGTCAAACCTCTTACATTTAAAAGACAGAAATAATACAACAATAATAATATGACACTTGTTACACATACCAGATTCAGTAAACCTAAAATGATTAAATATACAGTAGGTATATTATATTAAATGTGGTGGTCAACATACCTGCCTGCCTTATCAGAAAGTGAGTGATTCTTGGTGATTAGGTTCAACTTCTATATGTGACAGTTGATATGGCCTCGGGACCAATTCATATTTAGCTACACTTCTCAATAAACTGTTTCTAAATAAGTTTGTTTAAGATGCTGTAGTGAAACCTTTATATAACAGACTTCTCTCTTCATATAATCCATTAGGTGGGGGTGGTTCACATCAAACAAACCCTCGATATAATGGACTTTCATCTCCGTATAGTTCGTTAATTAGAGGTTTCACTGTACAAAGTATATTTTCCAGGGCTTCATATCTGGTTAATTTCTGGTCATATACAAAACAATATATACTGATGAACCATAGGAGATAAAATACACACAATGTACTTGAAAGTCTTTATGTGCAGTTATTCATTAATTAAAACTACATCTCATCCCCACTGAATGACTGACAAATGGAATTCACAAAAAAATTAAACACAACTTATTCCAATACAAATACTACTGAAGATTTTTCATATTTGCATTACAATTGGTTTATATTCACTGTACAGTCTATTTAATACACAGAACATTCCACAAGAGTTCTGTATAGGAGTACATACTGAAATACAACTATAAAGTCCATATGAACATATTTGAGGAGATCACACATTTCTCCAGGTCATTCACCACACAGTAATTTTAAGTAGTAGTCATCTGCAACAGTTATATATGACCAAAATTAATACTCAGGATTTTACCTCTTAGCTACTTCTACTCTAAGGAAGTATGACTGAAAATTTTTGTCATATATATACTGAAATGTTTACAAAAAAGTCAATACCTGTAATTCATTAAATTTTCACAATTGAACTTACATTAATGTGAGATAAATCATGTATCAACTGACAAACTTCCATGCTTTATGGATAATGACATTATCCAACTACAATATTTTAGAAGGAATTCATAAAGAACTAAATTGATTAACAAGCATAACAGCATTCAGATGACAACCAAAAGTCCTAACACCACTTAAAATATCAAACCTATAAGACTTAGCTGACAGTTGGTTGTCAAGAAGTTTCTTGATCTGCGACACAAAAAATCTAAATTTTTACCTCAAGAAAGACCACAAAGGCAAACAAAAATTTACTCATGTCATAAATATTAGTTCAAAAGTGTCAAGAAATATTCTCCACTTATTCACGCATGTCTGTTGAATACATTTCAGCTAAATTTACTTTGGTGCATTCACTTCGTTTCAACACTAAACAAATTCTAGTTTGCATAACTTTTTCCTTAAACAAAATATCGCATAACTTTTTACTTAAACAAAAAAATCACATTCTAATAAAGACAACCTGGTATAAGTTCACTGTTGTGCTATTATATAAGGGACCAGTTACTTTTGACAGGAGTAAAAATTGCAGCTTTTGCTGAGCAATGGTCAGGTAAAGTTTTGACAGCAGCTCACCTATATTATCCTGTAGTCGTCAGTCAACACTAAACTTAGGTATTGTTACCATAAATTTTTATCAAAATTTCTAAACCAGGAATAAAACTCAATCATTTCTACATTCCTCACATTTTCATGGAAAATATATATTCCTCTGTAGAAAATGATATTATCTTAGATGAAACAGAAAATCAGAAGAGAATACTGTAGTTCCCAAAGTGAAATCTAATACAGTATTAAACAATGGATCAGGATCACTTTAAAAAATATACTTGAGACGTACCAGTGTGTAAATAAAATAAATGTTTACTTTGAGGTTGCAAAGTGACTTCCACACAAATGAAGTAAAGGTGTGTATATTACAGTGCAATTTAAATAAAAACTTCAAATTTACTTCATTCACCTTAAAGTAATACAGTACTTCCATAACTTCAGTTCCTGCTGCAGATTTAGTTATTTGTTCTTTGTGGCATTAGTTTCAAGAGTACTAATACCTTTTATCTCTGGTACTGATGATTTGGACTGTATTTGAACTTGGGAAGCAATACAATCTCCCCTCCCAAGTTGCCTTACACATAACACATTGGTTAAATCACCAAATTCTAAAAATGTAAGAGAACATTCCACAACTTTACTCAATGCCCAATTTCTTACTAATGATATTGTCTCTTATTAAAGTCACAAAAAAAAAAAATGCTTGGGATGATTCAGGTCATATAGGCAATACATGTACCAATAATTTTAATTCACTTAAGGTTATTGAAAAATAACTTGGGTCTTCTAAGCAACATGTTAAATCTGGATCATATACAACCTTTGAGGAATCTTGTGGTTTAGCTTAAGGTGACAGCAGTCGTGGCACAAGCATCAATACTTGTATCTCCCTGAAATAAAAATACGCACTTGAAGAGAATGAAATTAAAGAGAAAAATAACGTAATCCTCGATATGTTAGACTACGGAGTGAGTAATTAAAAAATATAAAAAGTCAATAAATACAAGTAGCTACAGCATTAAACAAATCTACAAGGGTAAACTACACCAAAGAGAAATAATAATTTCAAACTTCCTTCAAAGGTGAACCCACAGCAAAAGAAAACAAGTCTACAGAAAAGGCCGGGAGTGTGGTTTATGTAAGGAAATGCTTTTATCATGAACAGAAAAAAGGTGTTGTAGTTAAGTTCTATATCTTTAAAGGAGAAAAGAGTATGCAGAGGTGTGCTAATATATGTAAATCACACTCAACAGGACCACAGAAACTAGGTCCAATACCATGCAGTATAACATGCTAAAAGATTCTTGTAGACAAAGACTCAAAAAGAAAATTCCGTGTGCACATCTACATCATCATCTCCATAGTGTCAATATTGTATACAGTACAGTACACCTTTTCCCACTGCTGAAGGGTGGTGGCATGAGACCAATCTTCACCAAACATTTCAATAAATATCATCATCTTTGCAACAATAGTGTAGTTTCCCATTTAGCAAACTCCTGAAACATTTAACTACAGTAGACTTATATACATGTTAACTTGCCTACCATATATTGTGAAATATTAATAAAGTAATTGTCAACTGGCTTCCATTATTGTTTCTTTTTTACTTTATAGATGAAAAGTGAGTGTGACTCCATTATGCACAGAGAGAAGATCTGGTTTAAAAAATAAATAAAAAAAATATACAAGAAATCAAAGGTGGTGATGGTGGTGGTGTGTTTGAAAAAGGCAAAAACACAAAGAATGTTCCCAAAGAGAGGTTATAGTAAACAGAAGACAGTCCTTAACTCCCACAACAAAACAGTACAGTACTCTCCATACATTATCAAAAATTTATATTCAAATACAAGTATGAATATATTTTCTGGTGAATCATGGCTAAAACTATATTTTATGGAATATAAGACTTTTCTAAATAGTTATAAAAAAAAAATCATCCCATGTCCTGTATGTGAAGTTACAGTCTTCCACTAGCTAAATTCTACCTAGCCCAAGCCAGAATTAAAAATATATTCTTGTTTACTTAAACATATTACTTTTATTTAATTAAAAAGGAATTCATGTATATATAAAGCTGGATTTATAACTAATAATGATGGAAACCCATGATGATTAGGATCTGCACAGCACCCAACTCTTCAGAGCTAAGCAGTAACTTTCTGAACTCGTACAAAAGAATTATTATCTATTATTGTCTTATCTGCAACACTTATCTTATTTTTATTAGGAAACATCTTTAGCTTTTGAAAGAAGTTAAAAATTATGATAACAATGAATAACATCTACAGCCATCACCGCGTGTTCGTAAGGTCTCACTAGTACTTGCATGTCAAGACCTAGTAATAACTTGAACAGTAATGTCATCTTACGGCAAAGACTTGTATTCAGTCGCCATTACGTGTTTTTGGAGTGCTTAATACGGACATCATATTACAACAAGTAATGACCATAACAATAACAACTGAGAGAGTACTGACAATTTGAATGTGATTTTACCTACATTTTAAGAAAACTTTGGCTCCAGGAGAAAAATACATTAAAAAGTTTTCCCCCTAAATATTCCATGCTGAAATACGAGTGTGCCCGTGACTCTTATATGCCATAAAATACAGTACATCCAAATTGTTTAAAATACCAGACCAGAGGCAGATGATGGGGGACACAGTACATAAATTACCTACAGTTACACCTCTTAATAATCTATGATTCACTTTGATCAGCCTTACACTATCATCAGAGCTACTCCAGTGACAAGCAACAACCAAATAAAGGGAGAGTGCTAAGCAATATTTCTAATTAGGAGGATACAATATTTAACTCTCTATACAATTAAAACATTACAAAAAATTTAATTCAACACTTTTTAACATTTCAAAGAAACCAATCAATCACAAGTCCAATTTGGGGTAACCAATAATAAAAACACTGCTGGGACATTTTACGTTCTTTCTTTCATTTCAACCTCAGTATTATCATTGCTGCTTAGTTTCTATACATAACCCTAAGATAATCATTCGAGATATAGAGTACAGTATATAAATAACTACACAGGTATCAACAGATTCACCGACTTATTTTTTTTCAAAATGTGACCCTAATCTATTAAAAAAACCAGATGTTAACAAGAAAACAACGGTAAATATTTCATGACATTTACAAAAGCATGTCAAAAAAGTCAGTTTCTACCTGATTGCTGGTTAACTCTTCACCCATTGGAATGACTCACATTGAGCAACAAATCATAACAGAACATGGTTTAAATTTTTAGCGACAGTACCTACTATACATTAATAATACTGAATATGATTTTTGGTACAGTACAGTACTGCCCAAAGCTAGATTATGTACAGAAAAAAAATATATATATATATATATATATATATATATATATATATATATATATATATATATATATATATATATATATATATATATATATATATATATATATATATTTGGTTGATTGGAGGATATTATGAGGCATGAATAAAATTGGAATATTGTCATGGGTGTTGAGGATGAACAAATATAAAAACAAAAATAAAATGGGAAAAATAAAATAGCTTGATGTTACTGTTACTATGGCTCATAAAAGAGATACAGTGCTTTTATTACAAGCTGCCAAGCCTACTCAATGGGAAATTCTGTACAAAACATTAATTTTGTGCAAAGCTACTACACTAATGATGTGATGAATCTGCAAATACTTCAGTGAATGCGGAGTAAAGAAATCTTTTGTAATGTTTTCACACTTCACTGATCTCTCTAAACATTAATAACTTGTCATGAATACAGGAGAGTACTGTAATATATGTGGTAGAAACTCAAAGGTGATTATTATGCTATTATGTAACACTGAGTAGTACCAGGTTCAGTTGAATGATGAGTGTGTTGAGTGCATGTGCCACTGCCTGTCATTCTGCTTGTCCACTACCTTCTCTGAAGGGTTGTCAATCTACTCAACATGAAGCCTATATAACTGAAATCATATCCTATACACACTGTACTAGTATATCTTTCGTCATTACAAATTATAATAACTACACCAATATGAATGCTAAGTGAATACTGAGACAATTTATAATAACTAATAAACATTAAAACAAAAATAACATGGAAGCATGTCAAATAAAAGCCACAATATAATGTCTTGTTTATTGAACTAGCTCTTGTATGATTCATCACTCCTTTGCTGAGAGAGAGAGAGAGCATCCTGCATACTGTACGCTGAAATTACACCTTGTCAGCGGTTTCCCATTTCATTGGCATCGTTTTGACATCTAATCCGATGTCTTCAGCCGACCTGGGTTGATACAAACATACAGATCATTAGGGTAAATCTCAAAGATTTTTTAATTACTACAATTATAACTCATTATGGGTAACTGACTCCTTTATTCCCAATTCTAACTTTAAAATTGCCAGCTTAAGAAGTATACCATAGTTAAGCAAATCATCCAAACAGGAACTTAAGCTTAAATTCCATATTGACAGGAGGGCATGCTATGAACAAGTGCTAAAAGATTAACACCAGGGAGTTCAGTCTAATTTATTATGTTGTATACCATATTTTGAGGCTAATGACTGACATTATTACAGTAGAGAGCTGTACTGCCACAAGAGAGTTGGGAGGCACAGGAAGGGGAAGGGTTTTAGTGTTACCTATACACCATACGAGGGTGTAGGAATATGTAAGGTGTTTTCCTTTCTGCAAATTAAAAAATATATTGTGGCTTTTACACAACATGCACACATCTTAAATATTTACATTGGCTCAGACGATCAGCGTCTGGCACCAGCACCTCGGGAGTTAGCGTGAGATTCTCCTGAGAAGGTAATCACTCTTTAGCAAATTAAAGGTTATTTTGCAGCCTTAAATTCAAGAACACTTTGAAAAAGAATACAAGAAATTAAGAAAACATTGAAATAAGAAAAAAAGGGAGATTCAAAGAACTAAAAACCAAAATTGGATAATATTCACAATAAAGTGTAAAGGCCCAGCTCAGTCATTTCTTATACTTCATGGTACAAGCTAGGATGGGTACAATGTATGTTGCTTAATGCCACCCTAAAAATCCTATTGTATATAAATATAAGATCATAATTAACTACAGCAGAGTAAGTAACACCTCTGCAACTTAATGCACATCAAAATTATTTCACAGCTAGTGACATAAAATTATCAAAAGCTTCTTGGCTTTTGTTTGTTTTCTTGTATGTATTCTGCCCCAGGCTTAGAAAGTTAAGATACTGTATAAAGGTTTAGGGAGGCTACATTGGCCCTCGGACAGGGAAGCACCATGAAAGATCTGAGAAGCTAAATGAGCCTTTTTAACCTAGTTAAGTGTATATAATATTCTGCCTTCTTTTTTAAGTTTTACAAAACAACCAGTGTTGTGTTTCATTTACTGTATGTGAATGACTCATTGAAGCAAAATTCTTCCGACTCATCACTACTTGCCATAAGAGTATGTTCTCTCGACTTTTGTGGAAATACAGCATTTGATAATTTATGACTACTGTACAGTGGAACCCTGTTTGTATCAGTCTTCGTGCAGCATGAGACATGAAGAGTGTGCTCTTGAACATTTGCCCGTTGATGTACAGGGTCATGTACGTACACATAAAAACACTTAGCAGCATTATCTATATACAGTACAGTAGCTATACCTAACACTTAAGAAATAAATACAGTAGTACACATTCTGAACCTTTTTTCTCATTAGAGAGAAGTTATGTGATAAAACATAAAATTGACTGGTGTCCAATTTTAATATATCTTTTAATCACAAGTTCATTCACTGTCTTTTAGGGCTTAGTTATATTCCCCAAGCTCAAAATGGTTCATAAAAGTGAACTACCTCTCAGTGAAAAGGAAATCTTAAGCACATCAAGACACAGCTTGCTGACAATCACATGCCACCCTGGCCTACAATGCCGACAAAAAAAAATTATTTAAGCTGTGTGACCTCACCTGGGTCCTACTGTACCTAACACATCTCTACTTAACTTCAAATAATCAGATGAAGTTGTCTAACATCACAAAGTGTGGCTTTAATTGGTACCCAACACCTTTAACAAGAGATGTGTGACTAAGATTTATGAGAGTAAGCAAGGCTAACACGAGGTTTTCAAAAAATTCTAAAATTACACCAAATTTCAACACTAAGCAAGTTGATATAGCACTTTTCCTAACCCAACGATCATCAGTTCATATTCCGTGGTAAGCCACCGAGTGGAAGGCTTCCAGTCAACAAAGATGTAGATAGAGTACCAACTTTATGGCAGGGAAAGTGTAACACTCTCCTATCTACCAATGGCTGATGAGTCTTAAGTGTGCTGTCACCACACTGCCCATAACGGGTTATCAAGATTATGGAACCCACTTTCATTATATATACATGTAACTGATCTTGGCCTAATTATCCCATCAAAGGCATGGAAGGCCAGCCCAGTTGTGAGTCTCGACATGTTGCTGAGTGCATTCTTATTACAGTCAGTTCTGCTATAACGCGATAGTTGTGTTCTTGTAAAATATCGTGTTATAGAAAATCGCGTAATAGAAATAACAGGGCTTATGGAGAAAATAGGGTTAGGTGCAGATTACTCGAAATCGAAAAAATTTAGTAGTTAGCCTAACACAAAGGATAGCACAGTCTAAATAAATGTTACATTCATATCTAATAATGAAATCATACAGTAAATATAACACTTTACCTTGAAAAAATATGAATGTAACTTGATGGGGGAGAAGGGTGATTTTGAGGTTGATAACATCGAGCTTCTCTTCAAGTGTTATATCCTTTCTTTTACGATCATCACCGGGAATTCTATCACCAGAACGCTTCTTGGAGATATTCTTCTTTACCATATTCACAGTTAATACCACAAAATTGGAGAAATAATAAGCAAAAATCGCGTTATAGCAAACAAGCGTTCGCGTTATACAAATATCGTTCCTCTATTCATAAATCGCGTTACAGCAAATTCACGTTATCAAAACACGCGTTATAGCAGAACTCACTGTATATGCAAATGTTACCGATGCCACAGTTGATATCAAACAATACAATGCAACAGATTTGATACTGTACACACTTTATAGCATTAACAAAAAATGCACACAAATACTGTAATTGTACCCTTTACATACTACAATATAAAGAGCAACAATACACAGCAAAAACTACAAATTCACTTCCAAATACAGTTGGGGAGTAGTGAACAACCCACAACAGCTGTCCGAGTGTTGGTGGAGTCAGTGCCAAGTGAAAGGGGAGCGGAGATATGCTTGACAGTTGGGGGAGGAGAGGCTTCATCCAAAAGATACTGTAATGCATTGTAGCTTTCCCACCTTGTCAACGTATATGAATCCACATGAACCTGTTATCTCAGGGACAAAGTGAGGTCAGTAATAAGAGTGTCTTTTAAACTCTATTGCCTCCTTTCTCCCGAGTCCCAGTCTTACTATATGGATGAAAATACAAGTGGCACAAAAGTAAAAAAAAATTTAACCACCACTGTTTTAAACCAGCCTCTATGAATAAGCTGACAATGACACAAAGATGCCCCCTGAGAACAGCTACATGACTAGGGTAGAGGAGATGAAACAAAAATGAACTACCTAAAACTTTATGGTATACACTGAATCTTTAGTTAAAAAGAAATTTAATAGTTCTGCCAACCATTTCCCATCAAAGTTTGAAAAACAAAAAAAAATTTTGAGAAAAACAAAAACAAAAAAACAAATCCTTGTCACCTATATAACATCTAAAATAATGAGTGGCTAGAATGAGAAATAAACACACTCACCCTCCACAGCACATTTAATCATCATGAATGCTGTAGCACAGGGGTTCTTATACAGTATTCTGATTCCACAATAAAACCCAAAATATCAGACTGGTTACTGTATACAGTGTATAAACCTATCCCATTGTACAGTTTTTCATATACAGTGATCTCCCCGTTAGCTGGACCTCTCCAAAGCCAGAATTGAAAGCCTTAGTTTGTAAATGGTATCATCGTGCTGGACAGAATTTTTCAACATAAAATACATTTGGGAGGAGGAAGCTGATAATATATATGCTACTAAGTTTAGTTGTAAACTTAAAGGAGACAGCTGCCATAAATCTGTTTATATTATATACCTGAGTTAATTTATTAAATTTTTGGCAGTACAGGTAATAATTAGTCTTAAGTGCAACTTTCTCCATTCAAAAGTTATTTGTAAATATTGTAATGGGGAATCAAGAATTTTCTGATATTGTAGTGTACACCATTCCCTACACTGTCCTCTCTATAGTTCATATAGTATACAACATATGACTTGAAAACACATTGTAGCCAACCACTATGTTTACTTACGTGGCGAGTATGAGCGTGATCTGGACCTTTCGTAGCGCTCATACTTGTCGTAAGCACGATCATATCTGTCATAACGATCATAATGTTGCTGTCGGTCGTAGCGATCGTAGCCGCCGCCGCCTCTGTAGTAACTGCGATCTCCACGGTCATATCTACCAAGGAAGTGAAACAAGAATATGAACATTTATCTGTATCACCACAAGTAATCAAAGGAAAACCCCAAACCACTTCATGTATCACTAAAGTAGTCAACAATATGCTGATACAGTATCTATTAAGAGGTGACCTAAAGCTTGAAATAAAATCCACAATGATAGCCATTAAAAGTTTTCCACTAATGTTTTAAGGGAAAAAAAATAAAAAAAAAATAGATGAACCAAGAGTTAAGTGGAACAATTAGATTTCCACATCACTGAATATTTGAGAAACAAGGGCTCAACCTCTGACATAACAGAGATGGAGTATACTACCACTGTACTGTAAATGGTACAATTCTGAGAACAATAATTACTCTAATAATAAACATCAAAGGGAACTGGTTATCAGGCATTGAAGAATGAGCAATTCAGGCAAGTTGTTTTCAAAAGGTGGCAAATGTTGGCAATGTACAGTACTTATTCTACATGTAAAGGATTTTTTTTGTTTTTTGTTTTTTTTTTCATTAAATTATTTCTTTTTTGTTTTGGTAACAGGTAACACAAGGCCAAACTTTGACTCCTGTTAAGCCAAGTATACATTTACAATAACCTATGATCAATGAGAAGCTGAAGATAAGCCATAAACACGATTCAACATAAGACCATGACAAATTTTCAAAGGGAAAAAAAAAAGACTAACACATAAGGTTCATAACTCACGGTGCTTCTATGTTTAACTCGACCTTTGACTACGCTTAGGTAAAAAGAGACACACACACACACACACACCAAAAAGGGCTGTACAATACATACAGTTTCAGGGATTTGCATACTGAGGTTTTCTTTGCAAAGACGAAGCTACAGATATAAATATGGAAACTCGAAATTAGTTTTAAATGGTTTCTCTTCTTGACATGAAGTTGATCCCTACATGAAAGCACCATATAAAAATCTACGATATACTTTACTGGCTCGGCAAGTCTCGCAAATCTAAGCAAAGTAAAGAAAATTAAAAAATGATTCCCCTAATAGGTACAGTATCACCTAGGAACAAAGGCCCTTCACCTATGAAACTTAGGTCAGTAAATTCTTATTCACTATAAATTTTCCGTGAAAATAAAAATAGGTAAAACATATTCTAAAAATCACTTACTTCACCATGCATTGATATAGAACAAAATACATTCCATCCCTAATTTGTTCTGAAAAATATACCTAACACTGAGAAGCAGTTCACTTCAACTACAGTACAGTACAATACAATACTATTAAAACTATCATAGACTACAATTTCAGAGTTAACTACAGGTGAGTACAGTATTTTTAGAAATTGTTTCTTACTATTTTAGTAATTTTTTTTATATTTTCTCTTTTATTCTTCTCCCACTTTTCTCTGGAGTGGGTTAAGATGTACACAAACCACATAAAAGGAGCACATTACAGGGAGCGTGGTGCATGGAGAGTGGCAAGGGACAGTAAAGGGCTACGATTACAAGTAGAAATATCCACACGTGTATTGTTTCACCTTGCATGGTATGTAAAGTGAATTTCAAGTGTCCACAGCAATTTGCATGTTTCAGATCACTTCAAAATGGAAATGAAACTGAACTGATGTAAATGTGAATCAATGCAGGTGCTAAGAATGCCCTTTTTTTCACGCTTCAAAAGTCCCTTATTCACATTATTGCAAGATTGTCAGATTCAAGAACCAAAGCATTCTTCCTCTTCAGTTACTGTTTAAAATTTATTCTCACTTACATAACAGATGTGTTCTGCTGTGGTAGTCCCCTTTATAAGGGCTCCAAATACCTACCAAGTTCATCCCTCATCAAAATTTAAGTATATAGTATTCACCAAGCAAACACCGTACAGTGTCTCATACCTGACAATTTTAGGAAAATCGAAAGAGCAGTTCTGAAATATTGTATAGTTTTATCCACCTCCTACACCATCCAATGACATTAAATTTCATGAGTTTCAGGCGTGAGAATTATAAAAAGCAGTAGGAACAAGAGCAATCCTCCCCCATATTTATATAACAAACTTCCAGACTTCAAGGTGCACAACTCCTATGCAGTGTACTAAATCAGCTCAAAACATGGAGAGGCAAACACACAAGACAAATTTTGTGCCACCTAGTCTCTGCTATAAAGGATATCCGTACAAATATATCCAAGTAAACATGAACACAATGCTACAGATGTACTATGTATTTCCTTACATATTTTCAGCTTTTGGCTCTTCAATTACGGGGGTACTAAATTAAAATGACTGCAGGCAAATACTCAACACTTACGAGAGATTAGTAATACAAATTCCAAAAAAAATATCTGTATACAGTATTAGAAAAACAGAGTAAATGAAATCCCAGAAAATCTTCGATGAGCCCAACCAGGTTATTACCACACCACGGTGACAAGTAAACAATTGTAACCTAAAATGTTCACATGCACTAGTCTTATCAATCAGGTTTTGAACATTTTGGCAGCATAATCCTGAAACTGGTTTAACCTAATCTTGCATTGTAAACATTAAACAAAGGTAACAAGATAGTGTAAAGGGATGCAATCTCCTCTGCATAAACTATAATCATTCAAGGGTTAATTGATTTATTTGGCCAAGTTAAATAGCATTATGAACAAAAGGACAAATCATATTTTTACACAAGCTAAGAAGTACTAGAGACAGAAAGATGGATGAGTAGACAGAGTCCTGTGCTATAACTGCAGGTTCCACAATAGGGAGACAGAGGGTTGAAATATGAAACCCAAACTGATGTTCAACTACTGTGTAATGTTCCTCTCTTTTTCCAACCACTTTTCATAATGAAAACATGGTAGACTAAGAGCACTGCAAACAACAAGTAAATTGGCCACAGAGCTGAAGAAAACTCCCCCTATATACAGTACTCGGGTAATGCTGATCTTGATCATTTGACCCCAAAATTCAGTCTAAAAACCCAACCAAATTTAGCAAATGCAAAATCCACACAAAACTATATTTTCTTGTCAGGATTCTAAGAACCTTGACCATAAGACCTTTGACTACTAAAAAAATTGAGAGAATTCTGCATATCCCTAACATCAACTCCCTTGTAATGTCTGGTGAAACACAATTAGCAGAACAACAATTATTGAGAAAACATCAAAATTATATCACTATAAACACCACAAAAAGCACAAATAAAAACTCAAATCTCCCCAGGCTTGAATGCTCATTTACGATCTCTTGTGTGAAACTGGAAGTGTTGTCTGACATATTAATTATTGAATGTTATCAAAATTTCCTTACACAAAACTATGGAGGAACAATTACTTAGCACCATAGTTACTCTGAAGGAATGTTTAAAAGACTCAGTAAAGTATTTAGCCTTTAGCCAGGTCATTATCTTTTACTACAAGAGGCGACTTCAACTTCAAGCAACAATACACACACATAAGAACCTCAATAATTAAATAGTTCTTTCTGTAGTGTTGGTAATCAAATGCAACTCTGGAACCTTTTACAACATTTGGAAAAGCTAAAATGTTCTGGGACAATAGCCTCTAAGACCAAGCCAATTTTATAACACTAGGATAATAAAGAAGTGAAATAATCAGGTTGAAGGACAAGATTGACAAATTAAGCCCATAATTTACAGCATGTTGTACTAGCTTTTAACCATGAGGTGAAGCCAATACACACAACACACCTAGTAATGTAATCTCTGCTATGCCACTGTTACTATTATAATGATTCAGGGTGGACCAAATTTGCAAATACTGAGTGACGTGGTAATCAAATACTTTATCATGAGTTGCTGCAAATTGTAAGTGATAATAACCCTTTATTTTGTTCTCAAATTATCCCATCTTACCTCATGCTAGAGAGAATCCTCAATTCTTAGTGTTTCTCACATTATATTTGTGTTTCATGTTGGACTTGTCAACTGCCAAAGGAACTTGTTCTTAACGAACCTGAATACTTCTCATTCAATGCTTAACAACCTTCACCAATAACTTGTGGTTCATCATCTTCAGCCCAGAGGCCTATACAACAAGCTTCTGTACACTTGCTTAACTAGCTTGCCTCCACATGAATACTTTGTCTGGTGGTGGCTTGAGTTGTGCAGTAACTCCCAGGCCGGGTACATACCCACGGTCATAATAGTCGCGGCGGCCACCGCTGGAACGTTGCCTGTAACGTGGCGACGGAGAACGGTATCTATCACCCCTGTACCCGCCGCCACCTCGCCCACCATATCCTCTGTCATAACCTCCTCGGCTGAAACACACAGAGAACAGTACTTTTTATGTAATACTGGAGTTTATTATGTGATATCCATAAATAAATTAAAACCACATACAAGAAGTTGACGACTTACCTACAGTATGTACACTAAAACCACTGTTAATAGACAAAAAACTAAAGCCCGAGACACTGCAGGTGAGCTATGCATTGTCGACTTTCCAATGAAACAATTGCATTCTCATTTTATTTCAGTGAAACCTCTATCTAACGGACTACTCTCTCCATATAGAGCGTCAGATGAAGGTTTCACATCCGAGAAACCCTCGATAAAGCAGACTTTCATCTCTGTAAAGTCCATTAAATGGAGGTCTCGCCATTTATAAACAGCTGTAAATAAAATCCAAGGCCAAGTGTCCCACTGTAAAGAGGTAATTATGATATATAAATTGGAAAGAAATTGGAAAAAAAAAGCATTATATTAATCTGAGAAATCTTGTGATCTATCCAGGCACAATCTCCTACACTCCCTCACCTTACTGTTGATTTCTTCATATATTTCTCTCCCTTAGTATCATTCCTAGTTTGTAAAATCTCTGTCTTTGGGTCTTCCTTATCTTACCCATCACTTGGGTACACTCTTTCTATCATCACGTCTCCGTCCATCCTTCCAACAAGCCTTCATCACGTTGAATTTAGTTAACCTTCAATTATTCAACATCCCATTGCTTTAGTTAGTCTCATAATATCTTTCAGGTTCATCCTCTTTTTAAGGTTACGCTTCCTGTTTCATGATCGGTTCTCAGATAAGAGAAAAAAGAAAAGAAAAATTACATGGAGGGGGAGAGGAGGAATGCTTAACAATAACAAAAGAAACAAATAAAACTATAGCCAAAAAAAAAAAAAAAGGGTCCTTCGAAAGAACTTACGTGGTGGGTCGACCCATGTAAATGCCTGGAGTAGGTGTGTGAGGTCGCTTGGTGATGGAGAAGTCGACTCTGATCCTCCGTCCGTCGATCTCCATGCCTGAACACTCATCCTTGGCTTCAGCAGCATCTTTTATGGACTCAAAGTACACAAATGCAAATCCTCTTGATTTTCCAGTCTGATAGAGTGAAGTATGAGGGTTAATAGTACAGTTCAGTTTAAAAGAAAGAAAGAAAAATAAAATAAAATCCCAATCTTGTTTAATTCCCTGAAAAATATATATATATATATATATATATATATATATATATATATATATATATATATATATATATATATTAGTTTACATACTGTATACCCTAATACTCAATCTATATAAAGTAAAATGGGAGTTAACGTACAGTACAGTACAGAAGGAATTCAACCACAAAACATTCTTTACTACACACAGTACTGTAGTCTCTAGGCCAATGAAATATCTTCTATCTAATATATGAACAAGTGTCAGGATGACTATAAGTGTTGTTGAAGAGTAAGATAAACCACAGTTAGGGAAAGAAATACTGCACAATCCAAATATAAGGTAAGTATGACATGATAATCTTTCTTTATATATCTTTTTCCTTAATAGCTGGGTATTTTGCTGTGTTCTAATAGTTCTGAGGTTCATAAAAATATTATATGGTATATAAAAAGTAAGCAGAGAATCAGAACATAACCCTCTCAATGATGGAGAACTGCCCCCTCCCCCCCCCCCGATATTTGAGACACTTGACTAGACTCGTCATGCCTGAACTTGAGGAGCATTTCAACTTCTGGAAGCCTAAACATCCCACTAGCCCCTCCCACAAGCCCAATGCATGTACTGTGCTGTGCTTGATGCATGCAACTAGTGATCCTTCAACAAGCTCCCGTTTTCATGAATGTGTAAATTCTGACATCTTAATAATAAGTTCAAATCAGGGAAAAACTCACCTTTGAGTCAAGCACTACTTGCACTTTCTCCAGTGGTCCAAACTTGTCAAAGATGCTATGAAGCTCTCTCTCTGTTGTGTACACACTTAGACCGAACACTCCAAGACACTTTGAAGGCTCGGGGTTGTCTCGAGTACCAATATGACGGCGGCGATTAGACATGGGGGATCTTGATTGAGGCGACCTGTCGAGTTGAGCAAACTTAACTGTTACGAGAGGGATCGACTGTCCACAGTGTGTCCAGTAGAGATGTAACATAAGCAATAATAAGGGCAAACTCAAGTCAACACCACTGCTACCCAAGTATAAGAGCTATCAGTGATTACCACAAAGCTAAATACTGGAAATAAGGCAACAGAGAAAGTTGATGTGAACTTTTGGCAACAGAGAAAGTTGATGTTAACTTTGGGCAACAGGAATCCAAAGTACAACTAACATCTGATTGGCTTATAAGTTTCGAAACTTGGAACAATAAGGTATTCAAGGTTTGTTGTTGGTCTACAGTATATATGCTTTTTACAATCACAAACAAATACAACTGGTCATATCAATCATTCAAACGGTTTTAATTAAACGAAGTGCAGCGCGTCACCGTACACAGGATCGAAATATAACCGTCACGCACCATCCATCAATAATTATAATCCAATTTTGCGACAGTTTAATACTGAGATATAGGACAAGATACAGTACTGCACTCAACACCAGGTGTCATGGAAGTGAATCTGGAAAAATACTGTACTACATCCAAAGATGGTTACTTTACCAGTATTTTACTAATGGCATAAAAAATAATTTGGGGACATCAATCGGTTGAACAATGGCGTCCGACTATCATGAATAAGGTACAGTATTGGTGATCACTGACCTATTTATTACTTACTAATGTGAAGTATTCTTAAAAATATTAGTTTAAAAATATTTGATCACTGATCTGTCTTATAAGTTTTTTCTACTCTATCATGCTGTTTAAATATTACAGTTATTGTATATACGTACTGTAATTTGTTCTACTCAAGCTACGAAAAACTAGAAATATATCCACCGAGACCATCAGTCCAAAATACTGAATGCAAATTTACATGCAGAGTTCAGGAAATAATATTACATACAGTAATAAGAGTTACTTATAAAATGTGCCACAATACATGCATGATCTACACACCCAAAAAAGCCCCAAATCAAACAAATGCATTTAGCTCTCATTGTATTTATATGTAACAGGCACCTGGTCTTAAACTTAGTAAATACCAAGTAAAAATAAAGTCTTGCACTACAATGATGCACTGCTGGATAAAGGTTAAACCTCTGCTTGGGAAGTACAGTATAAGGTAGTCAATAAGAATATGGATAAGGAAATTTAAGCACCTTCCCAAAAGATAACATTAATATATTTAAAAAATGTACCAGTATCACCCATATATTGTACAGTGACTCCACAATGGACAATAACCTTATACATGCATCACCTTCCATGGTTTGGCTTAACTAAGCGAAGACTCGGGATAACTGGAGGGTAAAGTAAAACATTCATGAGGGTAACTTTCTTCAACTACTACATAGAAAAAAAAAAAAAAACCGAGGTACATTTTTTTCCTTCTCATACAGTTTCTTCTTCCAGAGCAGATGATAGTACTGTAGAGGTATAGAGGCATAAAATGTTATACAGTATACTGTACACACTGGTACCCATAAAATAAGGATCCAAACACCACAACACTCTCACACATATGGACAAACGCCACACAGAACTTTCGCATACCGAGTACGTCGTGAGCGCCGGCTTCCATCGTGACCATTACGGGGCGACCCACTTCGAGAGCGGTGCCTACGAGGCGTGCGGGAACGTGACCTGAAATTTTATAATGACCACAATAATTACCCACCCACTCATCATGTATGCAGGAAACACATTAATAAATACTGTACTCAAGAGAGCCACTGAATAAAATAAAATTAATCGAGGTTAGTAATGTGTTGAGGATAATAACATTAATGGGCAAAGTTGAGGGCAGGAGGGCCAAGGGAAAGCAGAGACTGGAATGGACGAATTAAATTAAAAGCGGAGTCAACAGAAAGGTAAAAAAAAATCTCACAGGATTGGTAAAAACAGCCTGAAAACGTTTCGAGTAGAGAACTGTGGTCGCCAACCCTCAGGTATGAGTACGGTAATCTGACTGATTGATTGATGAGCATTAGCAAGGTAAAATTTACATTCGGGAAAATTGGTAAAAAGAAAAATTGGTAAAAAGAAAAATTGCCTCCATACCAGCCATCTTGAGTGATTTCATTATTATTCCAGAATTCTGTACCAGCACCTGCTCCAATTTTAGTTTTCCTGACAATTTTACAGTACAGTATATAACCCAATTCACCTTTTCTTCTTTACAACAACCAATTCTTTGAGAAAATACAAGTATCACTTGATCTCATACCAGAGGACTTTATAGTATACAGAAACCAAAGCCCATTACCCACTATATTTCTACTGTGGTTCAGGGGGAGTGGCAAAAGGACTTAGTACAGTACAGTAGTTGACTGCACAAGTGAAGGATAGCAATAATGTATTACTTACTTCCAGGTAATGTAACAACAAGGTTTCTCCTGCAATTAGCTCAGGAGGAACCTTACCGTAAGGTTAATTTATATTTAATTGAATTTACTAGTACAGTAGGGTTGGGATATATCGCGACTTTATAGAACGATATTTTGTTATCGTGTTTACCAAAATCATCATAATTTTCCTTTATATAGTGATAATTTTTTTTATTTTGCGAGGGAAATCGGGCAGGAAATATTTCAAATGTGCCGCCATGGCAAACAAATGCGTTATTTGCACACCAGAGGTGCCACTGTGGCTGCTCACTCACTTATTCACGCCCGCCCGCTCAGTCACGCTTGCCCGCTCAGTCTTTCTGAGTGAGTGACGAGAAAGCAGCCGACTCTACTGCAGATTCCGACTTCTAAGGCGAGTGTAAATGGGTTGCTAGTGACGTGAAAAGTGAAGTGAACATAATGGAAAGCTTAATGGAAATGATTTAATACTGTAACTAATATTTTTGGTGTTCGTTTATGTAGGTGTGGGATTGTCAAGTGAGGGTGGCAGTGTGTCGTCAGCTGCCGAGTCTGGTGTTCCTTGATATTGAAATAGCCTGTTGTTCCCGAGTTTAGTGTTCATTGGTGCTTTAGTTGGTAAGAAAATTAACTCGTAAAGTCAAGTTTAGTCAATTTTTTTTGCCTCCAGAACCTAACCCTATTTTCCCCTTTGATTACATGTAATTATATATCGCGATTTAGTATATAGCGACCATCGTTGGACCCTATCTCGCTATATATCCAGACCCTACTGTACAGTACTTCTAGAGGTATTTATGCCCAACCTCAATGGTCAACATGCACATCTGCTTAAATCTAATAACACTCACTATCAGTTCACACAGCTCGAGCCTTAACTAAGTATGAAACATGCCTTTCACTTAAAACGGTCGGTGATGACGGAGAATACATGGCCTTCACAAAATGCACCCAATCAACAAGTGTCAAGGTGTGTCCAAAAGACAGGTCAAACATGGACACACACACAATATCTCACTACCATCAATGTAATGATGTTTCTTAATTATTCCTTTTCTTTTTGACATTAAGCCAATATCACTTCTTGATGTTCAACTTATATCACAAAGATCCTGCAACAAACCAGCTGTTGTTGATATCTTGGTCACTCCTATATAACTGTCTTTTAGACCTGTCCAATACACTGGTCAGCATTAGCTGACTTACAAGTCCACAGCTGTAACCACTTCCCCATTAATTACCACCTCCCATAATGAGGGTTTCCGACATGCAAATAGGAGACGACGTCTAATTTTTTAGTGGGCTCTATGGTTAAATATACATGAGGGAATAATGTAATCACACAGTATGTAGGGGCTGTAAGTCCTACACCTCAACACTAAACTCTCACCTTTAAACTTTATACTATTTTATTATTCAGTTCAGTTTGGGGGATGATTTAATAGTAATAAGATCATTACAGTTCCAGCTGTTGTATACATAACTGAACCTGTAATTACCCCTAATCAATTAAATATACTCGGCATTAACATTCACATATGACAAAGACAAGTGTTACCCTCGTCTTCCTCCCCTTCTCTCCAGCCTATACATTTTCCAATATGTTAATGGTGTTAGAGGGTTCGGTTAATGTTGTTTCACCTTACATAATATTAACCAAGTCTGGTGGCTTTTGTTATGGAAACCTTTTATACTGGCATATTTACTGTAATACTCTATTTGCCAGTGTATCTGATGCTCCTAGATCTTGGAAGGAAATATTCAAGATTTTTTCCCCAATGAATATATGGTATATATTTAACCCCTGCACTACTGGATGCCACTTTTGAGTACAGTATTTCATTTGGCTGACATTAGATGATCTTATTTAGCACACAAGACACACCTTGTACCCATAAGGATAATATTTATTCTGACCACTACAGAACAAAACATCAAATGAAAATAAAAGGAAAAGGTATTTTAGTGAATATGTAAGTATGTGTGTGCTGTATGTATGTACTGTATGTATGTACTGTATGTGTGTAGTGTATGTGTGTAGTGTATGTGTGTAGTGTACTGTATGTGTGTGCTGTATGTGTACAGTACTGTATGTGTGTGCTGTATGTATGTACTGTATGTATGTACTGTATGTGTGTAGTGTATGTGTGTAGTGTATGTGTGTAGTGTACTGTATGTGTGTGCTGTATGTGTACAGTACTGTATGTGTGTGCTGTATATGTACTGTATGTATGTACTGTATGTGTGTACTGTATGTGTGTAGTGTATGTGTGTGCTGTATGTATGTGTGTACAGTACTGTATGTGTGTACTGTAGTTTACCATAATTATCTTATTATTCCTTACTGAATAAACATCAATGCATCATAAAGGTCTTTACTAATCTTGGAAGCCTGAAAAACCCTAATCACTGCTGTTACCCTTAAATAATTTTATACAGTATACAATAGATTAATATACTTGTATTACTTACTATACAGTATAATGTACTGTATCTGTTGAGCCATCGTCTAAAACAATGGTTCCCTCTAATACTGTAGTACTGCACTAACTTCAGATAAAGAGATGAGGAGTTGGGATAGCAAAGCACGGAGTTGACTTGAGGGTAGACTCTTGCATTTTTCTAAATTTTGTTGTCTTGTTTCTGATTATTTGAGAGAGGATTTTCCCATTATTATTTATTTGTATGTATTTTGTGTGTTTCTACACACACACATATATAAAGTATACAATACAGGTAAAAGAAATAATTGTCCTAAGGGCAAACACATAGGGAATACAGTATACATTTCTTTGCATACGAGTAAAAAATGTACCCCCCGCCAAGTCAGCAAATGTTATTCACGGATTTGGCTATTCGCAGCCAATTTTGAGAACCTAACCCCCGCAAATTTTATGGGCACGCTGTACTGTGCAATAAGTAAAAAATATAAAAGTTTGATGCTCATCTTTAGCCTATTTTAAGAGATGCCCCCCCCCCCCTTTTCTTGGCTAAATTTTTTCCATCAAGTTAAAATCAACTATAAATAAAACAATCCATTCAAAAAAATAAATAAATAAAAGTTGGTAAGACAATGAATGAGGTTCTCCAAGACTGTCCCACAAAATTAAAAGTTAAGTAATAAACCACTTGTCACTTGCATTGTTTGGACACCACTGACTTGTATAACTGAAAATTTCACATAAAAAACAATAAATATAAATTTCAAATGGCACTCCTCCTCCCTATACCAAAGGTAATACAAAACTGATAACTATACAGACTGAGCAAAGTCAAAATTGATCTGACACTATGTGCTGTCTCTCTAAAAGATCTAAAACATTTGGTTACTTCTGACCAGACAAAATTTATATACCGTAATTAGAAACAATTTGATATTCCCAACCTGTTGTCAGCAATTTCCTCCAACACCACAAACTCTGAAAGATCTTGTCCTGCTAACCACTGGGGACCGTCGAATGTCACAGACTCCCACATGTCCAGCATATTGGTTATTCTGTTTACTGTACAAGTATTTCAAAGTCCTCAAGACCCAACAACAAGCTTCGTTACTCGTGTCTAAATTCTGTCTTGACTCAAGCACTTTCCAGTTAGTCTTGTGAAACACCAAACTCAATACAGTACAGTAGCAGATTAACGGCCAACACGATGTTTCTGTTACATTATCAAGGATAGGTTCTTAGCCTGATCATGTGGATCACTATCAGCGTACATCCTTCGTGCATCCACCTCTCAAGTCAAGTATGAGAGGTGACAAGGTGACAAATTATATTCATGTCAATTTGCATGCGTGTAATTATTCAAATGAGACGAGTCATATAACTTTCTGGTCATGTGTTTTCTAATTTGACCATAAGTTTTAGGTAAAAGAAAATATCTTAATGAAATTCAACAAAGCAAAGTATTTTAAACACTTTCCTACATCCTCCTTATTTTAGTACAGTAACTGTACTTTGTGGAATTTGAATTAAATGGTAATGAAGAAAAATTAGTTAAGAGAAGTTAAGTTATGGTATCTAAAAACTCAGCCCAGGAATGCATCCTCTAATCATAACACAGAGACTATGAAAAAAGTGTCCAGTTTATGCTGCCTTTTTAGAAGAACCAGGGCTGGCATATACACTAAGTGCATTTCTAATCCATTACTCATACTTTAAGGAGAAAAAGAGGATGACTGTCTTTCAATTAGCCTATAACTTTAACACAATACTGTATATCTGCACAGCACTGTACAGTACATAGCTCCACCCATTCTCCTTAAAGCAACAATGACTCCACCACCAAGTGTCCAGAAGACACTGATGATGAAGCAATTTTTTAGGTTCCACTTAGTTCACCACAAAACTTACTACATCTGTCCCACCCAACTTATTCACGAATGAAGTAAAAATTATATGCTGAATCCATATATGCTAGCAAAAATTTTACCTGAAAATAACTGCAGTTAGCTGATGCCAAGCAAGTTGTATAGTTATACTGTACTGCATGTAAGAGCATGTATCTTTAACACTTAGATTTTAAGATTTCATAAATATTAAAATTAATAGAGAATTACCGGTATATTTTTTTCTAATTTCAAGATTCAGGAAACACAAATGATAATAATTATGTCTTTGGTGTAGGAACTGAACACAAGTGGAATTAAATGAAAAACTGGGGCACAGACAAGGGAAGGCCCAAGACAAAATATTTGGTTAATAATTTAAAAATTTTCCCGTCTCAACTAAAGATATACAAAATAATAAGAGTACAGTAATGTTACCTGCTAAAGGATCGTCTACGTGGCTGTGGAGAGCGGGACTGTGATGCAGCACGGCGATGAGGGGGCGAATTGGCTGGCGACTCCAGTCGTGACCTTGAACGAGAGCGAGACCTTGGCGTGAGGCTGTTCCGCTCACCCTCTGGGCTCTGTAAAAGAAAAGAAAGAGAAATAAAATAAAATTAAATTCTAAAAATGGACTCGCCAATACTGTATGTACAGAATGTGTTATTAAACTCCTTAAAAAGAGACAACCTGTACCTTTATTAGCTATAGTACAGTACAGGTAGTTCATATTCCAGTGTTAGGATGCAGCTTTCTCCAATCCCTCAACAGAAAAGAATTAGCTTAACATCTGTGTTACTGGACTGGCAAAAGGTAATGTGTCGCCCATAAACCTATAGAGTAAATCCTTCATCAAAGCTTATCTCCCATCCCTTATAGTGTGTTTCAAAACTCCTTCACTACACAAAGCAGCTGTCATCCTCCTCCAAATATATTCATCACCTCCCGCAATGGCTTCTTCATATCCATATATGCTGCACAGTTCCCTATTTTTTTTTTGTCCTGAACACAAATCTAAGTCAACTTGCCAGCTCCATAGAGCAGCAATTATCAGCTGTTTATGTACGCGCTAATAGACAAAAGCTTCATAGACATTAACGCCTTTGTTCCATAAACTTGAAAAAACGGCAGCTACTTCTCAGCATTTTTGTACAGACGATTAATTTATTTTCTTAATAATATACTGTACAAATAAATAACCATGTTTTACAGCAATTTAACTATTACAGGTAACAGTGGTAACTTTGTGCTGTATGGTGCGGTGTCATCATACCTGAACATCATCTCACCACAAACATTAGCCAGTGGTTGTTTGGTTATTTTGATGGAAAGTTTGCTGGGAAGCTTACTGTTATGTTACTTACTGTGAGGCATGTCAACCAAACCTAATCTAACCCTAAAAATGATATCTGCAAGTATGGATCATATTTACTTGACAAAAACTGAAGAATAACAAAAGTAGGATACTAGCAGTTGTAATTGCAGGTATTTTTCACCACCGAAAACTTAAACATGATACCCGAGGCACCGACTATATATACAGAGATACTGAAGAAAATAGATTAAGCGAGATAGTAATGACTAGTAACGATGTTATTAAGCAAATAGACAAGCTAAAGCTTAATAAGTCACCAGGTCCCAATGTGATATTTGCCAGAGTATTAAAGGAATGTAAGGAAAAGCTTAGTATGCCCTGAGCAAATTTGTTGAACATGTCATTAAAAATGGGTGTAGTACCAGAATCCTGGAGGATAGTGAATGTGATACCTATTTTAAAGAAGGGAGATAGATCACTATCCTCTAACTACTGTCCAATCAGTTTAACATCAATTGTAGCCAAATTGCTGGAAGCAATAATTTCAGAATATTCGAAATCACCTGGAGAAGCAAGTTACGAATGTGAATCATGGTTCATTGATCAAGTTATACTAACAAACTCATAAAATTCGTCCTTCATACCAATTGAACCCTCGGTATTCACTCATTCACACCCTCCATATTTCAGTGAACCAGAAGAGACATAAAATATCTCAAACTCATTCCTGAACCTCTAGTCAGCTACTTGCTTTTAGTGTGCAAGGTGGGCCGAGTTGGTTATTTATGGTGGGCTGAGTTGGTTATTTATGGTGGGCTGAGTTGGTTATTTATGGTGGGCAGAGTTGGTTATTCATGGTGGGCCGAAATGGAGGTACTGTACACCACCTGAAGGCACCGCATGTATAGTCCCTCCACTGTTACTCAACCTTACTCCTACAGTTAGGTGTGCAAGATTCCAGAGGATTAATTAGTTCTGAAAACTGTTTCCTGTTTTTAATAACTGGTGTTCCAGAAGGGCATAAGCAAATGGCTCATGTTGCTAAGATAAACCCCACCTGGCATAATGTGTAAACAATTTCACCTTTCGGTTAACCTTCACCAACTTTTAGGAGAAGACACAATTGTAAATACCTTTTTGCTGTGGAGATTTGTTCAGTTGTTGGTTATATACATTTTTAGACTCGCCAAAAGGAGTTGATAGAACTGGATGAAACTTTGTGGAACGTTAATTACAATCCATTAAATAGATAAATGGAAATGAGAATCCATTCAGTGTTGTTAGGTATGTTTAAAAAAATATTCTGGTAAGTTAGGTTGGGTTAGGTAGGTTACTTTAGGTTAGGTAGGGTTACTTTAGGTTAGGTAGGGTTACTTTAGGTTAGGTCAAGTTGTAATAGGTTCTGTGCATTCTTGTTTCCATTTATCTATCAAATATATAGTAACTGACCTTTCCAAAAAGTTGTCAAATTCTATCAACTCCTTCTGGTGATAGTCTAAAAAACCTACCTAGCCGACAAAAGGACAAAATAGCCACAGCCTTCTTTTTTACCGAGGCTAAATAAAATTCTAAAGGAAAGACTGGTTCTGTTCACCTTTAAATTACAAATGCAGCACCTGGATATCAAGATATGGTAAAGTTTCAGGACAAGGGCATGGGTTAACTAGCTACCAAACAAAAAAATATAGAAGAAACCTTATTCATTAACTGAAGAATAAAGGAAATCAGGTGTTGGAATAGCAATATAATCCCAAGTGTTTCTGGTAAATAAAGACACTGCCAACACCCGGCTACACGAGGCGGAAGACACTACCTTTAACAAGAGGCATCATCTGAATAACGTTAGGATACGCTATTCTATTTCTTACTTACTATGAGAAAATAGTTGCTGCAGCATTAATTTTAGATAATTTTTTTAAGGGCAATAATGGCAAATTATTATTTCTTAAATAAAAAAAAATAGTTTTCCAAAAAAGTACAATTATTATTGTTTATATTTGATTTTTTTTTAAACATCAGCAGCACCAGCATCGTTATCACGGTCTTTTCCACCACAAACACTTGTAGTGAATGTTATTATTATATACATTTTATTATTTGTTGTGGATAACATGAACCAAAAACCCTACCTAACACACCTGTCCTGGGATGGAACTATATGCTCACAATAACTAAGGTTAAGTAGGTTACATTTTATGGGAAGAATGAAAGGAAGGGCAGTCAATCATTATTCGCTGGCTGGGAAGCGTTCGGTCAAACAGCCAATCAGTTGGGTGCCGAGCATTGAATTTGTCATATCACGCAACATGGCTTCATCATGAGCTGGGCAGGTGGCAGCTTTATCTTTATTTACAAGAAAAACTTTTGGGGAAAAACCTGGTTACAATAAGTGTTATTCCTTCAACCGATTTGATTTATTGGGTACGGTAGTCTCAGTATAAGATATGTTTTCTTCTAAAGAGTTATTGTTTGGTAGGTGAATAACCCAGACCTTACTCTTCAATTTTAACTAAAAATATTTACCAATCAATGCCTGGCTGACTTTCTTTCTATATATCCACACGGTCAAATATATATTTATCCATTTATAACATGATGCAACTGAAAATGAATAAAAATTAAAGAACAGAGGTAATTGGAAGTAGCAATAGTTAAAACATTATCATATAGAGATGAACTGATGTAAAGCAAATCTCAAGTCCATTACACTGACCAGCAAACGTTTGGAAAATCAAGAATGGATTGAAGAGGGACATTGCAGGCAGGGAGAATTAACCAACCCGAACATTTATTCCTTTGGCTACATTCCTTTAAATAATAAGACCGCGCTGAATGTCCTGAAACAATAACAACTCAAGAGCATGAGGTTATACACAGAGAACAACTTACATGTGTATGAAGTGGTTCTAGAAAAACAACTCTGGTCCCCCTCTTTGATCACCACCTTGTTGTAAGCACCTCTAGTACTCCATTAACTCCTCTCCTTCTATCGTGATCATAAAACACAGCGTTAGGAAAGTTATAAACACGTCCTTACCTCCATATTTAAGTAGTAATGCCAATATTGTTTTCAAAATAAAGTGAGCTCACACGATGCGCGGCCTTTTCCTCACCATGTACAAACAATGCCAAAACCCTAAAGAACGCGTGCTCTGATTGGTCACTACAGAGACACGCCGTGTGATAGGCCCACGAGAGCGTCGAATTCTATACCCCAAACTCCCTCGTTATTCAGTCTTACAGGGAATTAAGTTGGTAAATATGTATGGTTCTCAGAACGCAAGGTTAAAAATTTACATAGTTTTTATACACCAGATTCTTTTATTTACAATGAAGATATACATTACAGACAAAACTAGATATTTTCGGCGGGGAAGACAAAAAGCTGTCCAAAGCTTATGGGAATGGCTAACTTCGAAAATCGATTTGGTAAGTCTTGGCACCCAGGGCTCGCCTGGGTGTTATTTAACAAGTTACTACCAGCATCCGATAACTTAGTTAACTATTTGTATCACTATTTAACCAATAACATGTGAAAGGATGTTTACAGGATTTCCTATTATTTACAGTTGTCAGAAACGTGGTCGGAATTTCTATATAAGATTATTTAATACTGTAAATAAATATTCACATGATATAAACTGCCGAAAGTCACCAAGGGGCTATAGTGAGTGTTATCACTGTGACCGAGTCACAGTTCAGTCTCTGAGTCTGTTAGTTGGATTAAGCCGCGTCCTCTGGCAGACATTATTTTATCATTTTCGCCTCGTATCAACTAACTGGTCGGTTGGGAGGTCTGTCTGTTAATTGTTACGACCTTCATGGTAGTGTTTCTATAGGAGGAAAACGGAGTACCCGACTACCCAGAGGAAACCTGTTATGTTTGGGAGTGATGGCCACGCTGGATAACACTCTCCCTACATCCAAACCAGGTGCGGTGAATCTAATCGGGGATGCAACGGTTTGAGCACACTACCGCTATGCTATAACTGGAACCATGAAGCAATGGCTATTGCTGGAATTGAAAATAAGGGTTTGATATTTTGAAATAAGGCAAGGACAACCTGAAAATAAAGGAAAACTCTCATAGAAGAAGGAACATGAAGAGGACAAATTATAATCAGGGAGGTAGAACAATATTTCCGTTGTGGCTGAGAGGATTTTATTTTCCCCTTTCATGAATTCATGCTCTAAAAGAATTTACTTCTCACGGAAATAAAACTTAATTCATGTGACGTCGACAAATTGATGTGGTGTTACAATAAGGTTAGGTTGGGTTAGGATGGCTCGTGTAGCTTGATACACAGTTAGGTGGTCCTGTTCTTTTTTTTTTTAATTTTGGACTATCTGTTGTCCTAACCATAAGGTTAGGCTAGTTTAGGTTGTCTGTAAGTTATTTTGCAAAATTACCAATATGCATGCCGGTCATTTTGCAAAATAACCAATTCCGCAAAAAAAAGTAACAAACACACACACACACACACACACACACACACATATATATATATATATATATATATATATATATATATATATATATATATATATATATATATATATATATATATATATATATATATATATATAAAGCACACAGTACTAATGTAAATAAACACACATTAATAAAGAGCAACATTTAATACACCAATGTATCTCATTGGGAATATTACCTCACCGAATCTTGTGGTGGGTCATATTTCTAATATATACGGCATTAGGTTATCTGAGGTTGGTTTAACCCAACGTAACTTAAGCTGAAGAAAGTAAAGCTTTAGCAAATAAGATACACCCTTCACCAGCACTGAAGACACATAGACGCGTGGGTCTGTTGCACGTGTATCCATGCAAACTGTGGAGATTTTGTATTACGTGAGATCGAATCTTAAACCAGGTCAAACTCGGTGTTCTTGAGGGGAGCGAGATGCAAGGACATTGTGGAGAAGAATTCTCACTCTCGATCGGCGTGCCTCAGGGCTCTTGTCTTTCACCAACCCTTTACACGCTCTACACGGCTGACCTGCCACCCCCAATCGTCGACAGCGAGTACGTCATGTATGCCGACGATATAACCCAGATTGTCACATGCCCAGGACGGTCCACGACAAGGATGGCGCGACTCACTTCTCTGGCAATAGAAGATATCTCTGCGTATGAAAATAAATGGAAAATAAAAAACAAACAAAACGAAATTCGACGTCATACTCATAGCCAAATTCAAGCCGGCGCCACTGATGATCGACGACGAAGAGATTGAGTACTCTAAACAAGGCAGGTTACTCGGCCTCATCATCTCTCGGACGGGCATCATTTCCCACTTGAATGACAGACTAAAGAAAGCCAAAGTCGCCGCCGCCAAATTAAAACGTTTTAAACTGATGCCTGAGAAAATAAAAGTCCACCTGTGCAAGGCGCTGGTGAGGCCTGTGTTGGAGTACCCACACTTACCACACGTCACACTCTGAAGACCAGACCACAACAACTACAGAGCTTCCGAAACAAGTGTCTAGGTCAGCCAGTGGCCAAACGCCACCCTACCAGGACACAGTGAAAACCATCCGCCTGAGAAATAAAACAGAGGCCCTCAACGTCAGGTTCCATCGCCTAGGGAAGAAGGTTTGGGACAAGCTCCTGGACAACCCTCACAGCCCAGACCACCTACGCGGGGAAGACATCAATGGAGGGCGACCCTACGCCTGGTGGCCCCGGAGTCTGCCCGCACTTCAACAACCCAACCCGCGACCCATCTATGTCGGCCACAACGATCCACCTTAGATAAAAACTTAAATGATATAAGTTCACATTTAACGAGTCACAATCTAGGGTGTCCATAACGTAATACAGTATAAGATATTAATAAACATGTAATTGTAAAATCAAACTAGTCATTGTCTACTAAATTAACCATTATGCAACCTCATCCTAAATCCTAGGTTAGTTTAGTTAGGCAACAAACTCTGTAATATGTAAAACAAGGGGTGTCGTTCCCCTCTGTTTAACTCATTAAATTTCTTTTCCAACCTTTCCCCCCACGACTTTATGTTGTGACTTCTCTATCCCTCACGTCTGGCTGTGCCTTGAGCCCCAGCATGCCTTCCATCCTTTCCCCACCTTAACCTAAAAAAAAAAAAAAAAATCCAGAGAGATGAGTCGTAGATCGAGTTATGTTTAGTGTTGAGATCATTTGATTTAATTAACTCTCTTTTACCATTGATAACGACCCAATCTTCATAATTACTTATGAACATTAGAGTATTAATATGATATATAGACTAAGCAGGATACCGTTGTGTTGTCCACTAGTTTTTAAGTAATTTGTCCACCGACAAACCAGTGTTTAGCTCTCCTCTTTCTCTGTGAAAACTTGATTGTCTCTTCTAGCCCGCGGGAGTTCAAAACTGTCGAATACATGTACAAGATTTTCATTTAGTGTGTATGTGTGTGTGTGTGTGTACTGGTGGGGTTGGGCCAGCATCGTAATCCACAAGTGTATTACCTGGTTACCATTTCACAATTATACTGACTGAAATATGGAAAGTATTAAATATTACCTTCTTCGATATGTTCATTGTTGATGTTCCGTATTATTCTTGTTTCTTCTTTGCATAGAGTTTATTGTATAACTTTGTGCCGGCGGTAGCTACCACTATTGCATAGTAACTGATGTGGCAGCCTCTACATACTGTGCACCTGCGTTCTGCTGGCAGATGTTACAAGCCAAATGCCATTGTACTGAGCGTCACACCTGCCCCGACGACCGCACACCACCAAGAACAACACACTCGTTTTCTTTGTGTGTGGGGAAGCTAATAGAGGTATAAATTTGTAAATTCAGGTAACCCCAGAGAGAAAAGAAATACAAGACCGCCCGCCACCCCAAGCGCTTCGAGTTTCATTATATCTTCACGGGGAATTTGATGCAGCTCCCATGAGGATGTGATTACTGTAAATGAAAGATGATTCCGACATTTTTCTGTATAATCTTTTATCAACACAAACGTAAAGTTCTAACTATGATGAATGAGGAGTTAAGGTAATTGGTAAATACTGTATATTGTGTTGGGAAACTATTAAGTGACTCTCTCTCTCTCTCTCTCTTTCTCTCTCTCATTTTGCTTTGTGACTGAGTGAATATAAAAATTAGTTATTATCCCTTTACTCCTGGACGCCACTTTACCATTTTATTTCGCTAACGGCAGACGATTTTATTCAGCAGAAAAAGACCCTCGTACCCAAGGAGTTATTACTATATAGCGTTAAAATTATGCAGTTTTTGTCGAAATCTAGACTTTAATTGAAGTGGTAAGTAGAACAAATACGCGGAGTTTCAAATACTACTTGTATATAAATGAACACTGCTGAGAACAATGTGCAACAGATTATTATTATTATTATTATTATTATTATTATTATTATTATTATTATATAGTGGGAAGGGAAAAAGAAAACAACGAAGAAAAACAGAAAATGTAACAGGAAAAAATAAGCGAAACAAAAAGAGAACAAGGAGGAAAAAAGAGTGAGGAGGGGGATGAGAGAGAGTAAGGGGAGAGAGGGAGGGAGGGCGAGGACTTAGGAGAGACAGCAGCAGGTGTGGACGACATGTGTGGAGGAGAACACATGTTTAGGATTTACTAATAAGGCTAGTTGACACTTGCCTCGTCCGTCATCCATCCCCATATACACATTAATTCCTCACACCTTATACTACACCTCATGTCATTCCTCACCCTTGCCACCTCATGGTCTCAACCTGACCCCCTGAGCGCCAAACTTCAGCTATCCACACACATATGTCCTCGTAAATTAGAGTACGACAGCATAATTGGTTACTTAATGAGAATCTATGCAAAAAAATGAAGCCAGTTTTGTAAGTTATACTGGGTGTCCACATGAAACCTTTTACAACTTGGAATAAGCATAACTTTCGATTGGGATCATTATAATTTAATGCAGACAAAGGGCGGCTCATATTAAAGTGGAATAATTAATGACGAGTGAAAATATATTTTAGTAGTAAAAAGTTTCATGTGAACAGCCTGTAGTTGCGTCGTTGTTTAGACAGCGATAATAATAATAATAACAACAATAATAATAATATCGAAAGTCAGTCACACTAATCTACAATAATAGTCTAATTCAGTCTGACAACAAAAATTTACGGCTCCTGGGTGGAGCAGCATCACAACACTATGA